GGATGGGAAGATTTCATACACTGAGATGCCGTTACTTTAATGAACTCTCGGAGGTTTGTTGAACAAAAAGGCAACAAAAGTGGACTTAAAGATTCTTAAAGTGCAAGTTTCTTGGTGCATAAAAAATACTGTATGACTTTAAGGGAAGCTTCAGACAGCTGCAGGTTGGCATGGCTGCTGCTGATGTCATAGTCTTAATTCACTCTCCAAAGGAGTCATCAGTACCCTGAGTGGGTGGTCGTTGCTGAGGCAGGGAAGAGGTTGCCCTCACCTTCACTCAGGTACACTGATGTTTTCATTCCCCATGTGAGATCCTGTGCCTGGGCTGGGACGCCTGAGCTGGGCCTTTGTTCTCCTGTGTTCCTGCAGTTCTCTCCTGTGGTGGGCTGGTGTTTCATTCAGGACTGATCCTTTTTCTTCTGAAGGAGGTGGAACAGCTGTGTTCTGACTTAGAGTACATTATTGGATAAATACCTTTTTTAAGTGTAATTCAATAGTGGTTTGGACCTGGCTACTGACGCCTGGTGTACAAATTATTTCCTAGCTAAAACAACTGAATTTGCCTCCTTCAACAGCAAGAGGGCACTTAAGAGTGAAAAGCTGCAGCATTTACATGGATAAGCAGTGGGCAGTTTGCAGGGTACTTGGGTCAAGCAAGGCTTTATTTTTACAAGCACCGAGGAGTTGTACGTGTGAGATTCAAAGAAGTGTGAGGTGGAATACACATTATTTTCTATAGCATTTGTTTGTTCCTCACCAAATTGTGTTTGCACACAACTGAAAGAAACAGGTGTAGCCTGTTGGAAGGCCTCTACTGCAAGTACCTTTGCTACAGCTCCTGAGTGAAAACCCCTTTCACTCCTTTCCTCAGCAGTGCAGCAAAAAATAATTGCACAGGAAGAAGCTATGGGATCAGAGGAGCCCACCAGCTGCTCCCTTACAGACCAAACCAACTGTGAGTTCCTTAACCTACTGAACATGCTGGGGGTGAAGAATGGGGAGCTGCTGGTGATGGAGATGAAGGATGTCCACATGACAGCCCCCTCAGTGCTGATGGATTTTGCTCAGGACCTGTTCAGTGCAGGTGATGGGAGGACTGAACTGCAGCAGACGGAGGAAAAAGAGGAGGAGGAAGACGTTCAACCGCACCTGGTTTTTATGGTTTGGCAAGCCACCACTTTGAAGCAGCTGATGCAGTGGGATTATCTGGATGAGACCCTCTTTAACATAAGGAACTTGTTCCCATGCGTGCCAGCTGCGCTGGTGCTGGTGGTGATCCATTCAGGCTCCCAGGAGGAGCTGTCCCGGGCCGTGGAAGCACTCAGGAGGATGCAGTGTCTGTTGGATGGCGCTTTCCAGCAGCTCGTGGTGGAGGCAGCGGTCTACAAGGCAGACCAGCCTGATAGCATCATGGAGGTCAAGAGAGCTGCATGTAGAGCACTAAGAGAAGTCTTTAATTGCCAAGAAGGTATCCTGGGACATAGCTAAATAGGGGCAAGGGACAAGGATGGGCTTTCTGGGAACAGAACCACAAGCTTGGGCAGGAGTGTGGAGGGTCTGAGAAGCAGGAAGAGCCAACATAAGTTTGGAAAAGACCTCTAAGATCATCTAATCCAACCATCCTCCTACCACCAATATTACCCGTTAATCACATTCCTCAGTGCCTCATCTCCATGGCTCTTGAACACCTCCAGGGATGGTGACCACCATCTTGAGCAGCCTGTGCCAGCACACCACTGCTCTTTCAGAGTTTTTCCTGATATCTGACCTGTGTGATGCTTAGTGGTACTCAGTGACCAGGTTCAGATGTAGGAGGGAAGACAAGCTGGAATTTAAAATGAGGGATTGAGTCCTGGTCTGGGAATGGAAGATGTGAGTCAGAGCCCATGTGCTGTTAACTTCCAAGTGTGACTGTGGTGGCTCTCACTGCCCCAAAACACATGGCTGTGGAGATGCTGCTCAGTGTGAGAACCTCCACCCCAACTCCATCGCTGGGGCTTCCCATGACTGCTCATAGCTGTACCACCAGCCTTGCGTTCTTCTCAGTGAGAAGCAGTAATTCTTTTGGGTGAGCTGTAGGGAAGGGCTGTTACCAGCGTGGTTCCTGCTGTGCTCCTATCCTGTGTTTCCTCCCCTAGATGTCAGCTCACCGAATCCCAGTTCTGCTTGTCCGGCTCAAATCAGCACCCAGCAGTGGGTCGCTGTCCTCAGCCTGAGCCTGTGCCACGTGAGGTATCACAGATGAGTTGCAAACGAATTCCTGGAGACAGCAGGATTTGCAGGTTGGGTTTCACCCAGGTGTCTCTCTGTAGAACATTTCCTTCGTGGTGCTTTGCTTGTCTGCCAGTCCTGCACAAGTGATGCAGTGCACGATATCTCAGCTGCCAGAAGGGGACGCTGCTCCCTCAGCTTGATGCCAGCCTTGCTCCAAAGCCCTGAGGTCTTCCCAGCATCAGCTGGGCAGGCAATCCACCCTAGCAGAAATCACTGAGTTTCTGCTTGCTTTCTTTGCTGCATGGTTCCCAGCAGCACAAAGCTCCTGACATTCCTCTGGGTTCTCTGCAGCCACAGGACAGTGGGTGAGCAAAGTTTGCTTCTGGCTCTGACTTATTGGCTGCAAACAAGATAAAGGTCCCTCTCCTGCCGTGGTGCTGTTTGCCATCAGCGCGTTGGTCTTTCCCAAGCTACTTCTGCGTGCCAGAGTAGACAAAGGGTCAAGGACAAGCTGTCTGAGCAGTTGGATGTGTGCAGACATTCCCACCTGCCTTGCTGGAAGGGCTGGGGATGGGCTCACACCAGAGTCCATCAGGAATGGGGGTTCTTGGGTGGGGGGCACTGTGGGAGCTGTGGATGATTTTGGTCTCTATCAGCAGTGAGCCCAATAAAAGCTGAGCTCACTTCTCGCCCTCTCTTTCTGGGCAGGGCAAGGCACCGTGGTTAGCTGTTTTTTTTTTTCCTGTTAGGGCTTCATAAGGATAACCTTTATTTTTATTTTTTTTTTTTTCCCAGATCTTGTATCCACCTAAAATCTTATCTGTTATGGAGAGAATTATTAAAGCCTTGTCTTTATTTGATTTCTCTGTGTGCATCTCTGAGCTGTAAAGCACCGAGCACCAGGTGCCATACAAACTCATGCAGAGCAGGGGGGATTTGCAGGGATTTTCCCTGAGGGAAAGGATCCTCCAGGGGAAATTTTGAGTGTGGATTCTTTCCGTGGTGATGTGGTGCATCGTGCCTACGTGCCAGGACAAAGTGCGAGCACACCTTGTGTGCCAGGAAGGCACCTTGCCAGCTGCCCAACTGCAGGCTCTCTGGGGCTCCCAGACAGCCGTGCAGGCACTGTCTGACATCTCTCACAGGTTCCGTGGCTTTCCACTGCAATAAGTGGAGGTGGGCTTGGAGAACCGAGAGGAAGAGTTTGAAGAGCTGCACTGAGGACTGTCAAAAATTGGTACAAAAGTCCTTTCTCGTGTCCTCTCACTTTAGATGAGAGGTGAATCATGGTGAATCATCTCCTAAGGGGCCGGATCCAATGGGTTTTTAGTCTTGCTCAGAGCTCACAGCACTGTGTTTCTGTACCAAGCACCCTGTCTTCCTCTTTTTGCAGTCCAAAATGAACTGATCTTTGCTCTTAGCAGGCATGGGCGCATGCAAGAAGTACAATTGCCCTCATTTAGAGCAAGCTGTTGATTTGCTGCCAGCACATCCATCGGGTTACAGTGTGAAGGCAAAGGGTGGAGCAGCAGGACCTGTATGTACATCCAGGTCTGCGTTCAGGTGCCTGCTGCACTCCAACATCACTCCGTGGGCACTGCACACACTGCTGAGCTGACGCTGCCTCTGCCTCGCTGTGCTGTATCTCTTTAAGCAACACAGAGGAAGATAAAAGTGTGTTTGCTTTTAGGTCCCTCCTCTGTTAATGAGTAAGGAAGTGTAAACGAGGTTGTTTGGGTATTGTGGGTGATGTTCACCTCTCCAAGCAGCCCTTGCTGGCAGCAGTATGTGTGTACCCAAAATTAACAATACAACTGCAGTGGCCGTGATAAACAGCTCCATCCATTCCCAAATATTAGTTTTTGGATGAGCTTACCAGCAGTTTAAACATCAGAGGAACGGGAAGCAGACCTCGTTCTGGGCATGGGATGCACAAAAGCCCCTTCACTGAGCAAGATTCCTGTAAATGCAAAATCTGGCTGACCTTAAGGCCGCAGCTGGCTGGTGTCACCTGCTGCAGCTGGGTGGTGTCAGGCTGGAGCCCTGGTGTGCAGACAGCTGCTCTTGGGGTTACAGCTGTACAGGAGCGTGGGCTCCTCTGCCAACAGACCCTGATCTTTGGAAGAGGACCCTAACCTTGTTTATCTCCTCTGACTTGATTACCAGCACTAGTCAATGAGTAAGGTCCTTTTATTAAGAGCCAGAGAGGCTGTCTGAAACCCCTGCCCTGACTGTCTGACCCCACAGTGCCGGTGTGGGGATGTGTTTGCTGAGCCTGTTGTAACTGGGACACGCGTTCTCCTGGCTTAAAGCTATTGGCACACAGTGACCTTCCCAGGCTGCCCTTCCTGATACCCGTGGTCAGGCTGGATGGGGCTCTGAGCACCTGATGGAGCTGTAGGTGTCCCTGTTCATTGCAGGGAGTTGGACCAGATGGCCTTTAAGAGACCCTTTCAACTCCAATACGTCTATGTTGTCCCCTAGAGGATGTCTGCAAGGGCAATGCTGCTGTCGGCACCTTTCAGCTGTTCGCATCCTCCCGTATTCTTGCAACAAGACATTAAATGTATGGGGAATGTCGTGCGTAGCAGAGTAAACGTTTACCATTGCTGCTGGGACTTCCCTCTTCACCTGACAGCCGTGCCAGGGCTGGGCAAAGCCCGTGTCCACCGGTACCGGAACCGGGAGATGCTCTGGGCTCGGGGCGGGAACCGGGGCCGGTGGGGGCGGTGCCGGGGGCGGTGCGGAGCTCCGCTCAGGGAACGCAGCGGCGGCGGCAGCGGGGGATGGAGGCGGCGGAGCTGCGGGAGCTGCGGGCGTTGGTGGAGCGGGCGGGCGGGCGGCGGGCGGTGCTGCTGGTGGCCGAGGTGGTGGCGGACGGCGCTCCGGCGGCGGCCACGTTGGCGTCGTTCGCCCGGGAGCTGCTGGGCGACGAGGCTCCTCCGGGGCAGGGGGTGGAGCCGGGATGCCCGTCCCGGTCCCGATGCCGGCGGCGGGAACTGGGGGCCCGGCTGCTGCTGGTGCTGTGCCGCGGAGGAACGGCGCGGGGCCGCGGGAGCCGTGCGCGGCTGCGGGAGGTGGTGCGGGACGTGCGGGGCCGTTTGCCTCGGGGGCCGCCGCCCGCCGTCGTCGGCGTTCTTCTGCCCGGTGGGGACGGGGAGGACGCGGCGGTGCTGGACGCGACGCTGCGGCGGCACTTCCCGGCGGCGGGCACCGTGCAGGCGGCGCGTTACAGCCCCGGGAGTCCCGCAGCGCTGCGGGAATGCCGCACCGCCGCCTGCCGAGCTCTGCGGGCCGCCCTGCAGCACCCCGCAGGTACCGAGGGTTTGGGGAAATCGGACGGGGGAGGGATGGAGGGTGGCACGAATGGGGCACGCATTGATCTCCCTGATCCGGCCCGCTGCCTCACTTCTGCAGGATTTGCCAGGGAGATCTGCCCCTCCCCAGGGACTTCCTGCTGTCCCCAGTGGGATCCGTTTCATGCAGTGGGATCTGAGCTTTCCCAATAGGCTCTGCCCCTTCCCCGTGGGTCTCCTTCTGGGGAGGATGGGCCATGGGTTGGGAAGCAGGGATGTGGCGGGCAACGGCTGTGGCGTGGTGCTTAGGATGCACATTCAGGTGCTGATGGATGGGCATTCTGGGGCTTGGGGTGCAGCCCTGGCCACAGAGGGCAGGCAGGTTCTGCAGGAGGAAGATGCTGGCATTGGTTTCACGCAAGTCAGAACAATAACAAGTGAGCACTTGGTTCTAAAACCACAAGCTGTTGGCAGCTAGGTGAGCAGCATAAGGATGGCAGGGTGAGAGCCTGAGGAACAGCATTTGATGCACAGAGAAGGGTGAGTGGTGTTTACCTGCAAGCACAGGATGCAGCCCCAAGAATCAGGTGCTTCTTCCCATTGGCTCAATCCAGAATCTTGGATCTGAGCCTTCAAGGGCTTTGAGACCACCAGGACCCATTGCATTTTCCTGCAAGAGTGTGAAGCTGCATTCTCACTGCCCTCACACTTTGTGCCAATGCATGCATGGTCTTCTTTCCAGCTTCCTTCCTGCAGCCTTTTGCTTTCCTCACATACTTCCTGCAAGAATTTCTTCTGGTAGTGTCCCCCAGTTCTGGGCACAGCAGCTGCAGGAGCAGGGAAGCATTCCTGAGTGCACACTTTTTTTTCCCCCCCTTTGTGATTTGCTGGCATTTGCCTCAGTGCATGAATCTTTGGGATTATCTGTGGATTTATCTTTCACGCTGGTGTGGGTGTGGGTGTGGAGTGCAGTGGAGAAAGAGGAGCAGAAAGCCAGAGCGGTGCTGTGCAGGCAGCCCACTGGCTTTACAAGCACTGTGGGTAGGAGGACTCAGCATTGCTCACCAGGACTCTGCTGGTGCTCTGAGTCATAGAAGCATCCCATGAACTGTATTGGTAATGAGGATGCTCCTCAGCTTCAGGGTTCAACCTGATGCAAGATCAGCTTCTTTCCATGCCCCTGTGAGCCGTGTGCTCCAAAATGCCTGTGTGACCCTTCTGTGCCCACCTGAGAGCTGGGGATCTCTCTGGCGGTGCCAGCCCATAGGACAGCATGAGCTTCTCTGGAGCCCAGGCTCCTTCATCCCATGGCTCTTCCCAAGGAGAATAAGATTTTTAGTGGAACGTGCAGGAGGAATGCGTGTGAGATGGGCCTGGGGTTTGGAGCAGCTTGCAAAGCAGGTTTGAGGAATGTTACCAAAAAACAACCCTTAGCTGGGGCTGAGTTTGTCATGTTTCCCTTCTGGCTTTTGCAAAGGATTTGTGCCAGGCTGCTCCCTGCTGCGTCCTCAAGGACTGCGATCAGGGGATGTGTTGGTGGCTGGAAGTCTGGGGCTGTCAGACAGCAGGAAATGCTGCTACTGTGAGCCCTTTGGTGTTGCAATAAGACGAAGGACACTGAAGTGGTTTATCATTTGCCACTGGGAGACAAGATCTCCTAGGAGGTGAAAGGCCAAGTGGCATTTAGATGGGGATGCTGAGCTGTTGCAGACTATAAAATAAGCTGCTGCAGTGTTTTGCTATAGCAGCATGAAAGTTTGCAATAACTTGCTGCTACCTCTGTTGTCCTTTAGATGAATTTCCAGGGCAATGGGGAGCTTTCAGGCCACTATGAGGGTTTGCAGGAGCTGTTCCATGCTTTCCCAGGGTGGTGGGTTTAGCTGTTGGAGTTGGTGTGGTGGGAGTTAGGCTGGTGGGAACTGGGGAAGCAGTGCCTCTGATGTTCTGAATGCTTCTGTGCTTTATCCAGAGGAGGGGAAAGAGAGGGAAAGGTGGAGGATGCCTGCCCTCCTGCAGTGCATCTCTTGGAGCCGGAGGAGCCAGAGAAAAGGCCACGTGTCAAAAGCTGCCAACAATGTCCATGAAGGTACACCCAGCTGCCTTGCACACATGCTGATTGCTGGAGGCTCCTCACTGGCTTCTTGGCTGTCCATATGCCCACACCTCTTGTTGGTGGCCTCCTGACACTGTTTCCTGCTCCAGATATCACTTCCTGGCCCAGGTTTGGCCAGAACCCGAAGACAGACAGTGTTCACCTAAATAAAAGCATGCTGGGCCCAGTGCCTGGGAGCACTGATGGGCAGTGACACAACTGTGCATCCACACAGTGAGTTGGAAGCATCACCCCAATCCTACATGCTGCGTTCTGCAGGAAGCGCATTCCTAAACCACTGACAAGAGTGGGAGGGCAGTCAGCTTCAGGCTCCAGTTCAAAGCAGGCAGTGAAGCCTCAGACCTGTGCAGCTCATTTGGAGGCTGCTGAAACCACAGGACTCTGTGGGGCCACTGCTCTTTTGCTGCATTTTAAGGGGATGTTGAGTTTGTAAAGCAAAAGGAGAATCCATTACAAAAAAAATCACCTGTGCTTAGGTGGTATCTACCATTCACTTCGTCTCCATGCTTTATGTCTGTAGCGCTTTAAGCTGCAGTTTACATGAGGAAGGGTTTCCCACTCCACTGTCCCCTGACCTCTCTCTGCTCTTTGCAGACAACTTGCAGGACCCCCAAGAGGTGGCTCTGACCAGTCTGTCTCCCAATGGAAACTATGAAGATGCTGCTGGAGGTGTGGGCACCTAAAGCTGTGGGCACCTGATGTGATCCCTGTCCCGGTTCTGCCTGGCTGGTGTGGAGCAGTAGAAGGAGCAGCTGTGCCCACTCACCCTCAGAGAGCCCACAGATTTCACCAAGGTCTTCTGTGGCTGCCAACAGCCTCTGAGCTCCATGACAAAGCCACCCCCTGCCTATGGGGCTGTGCTGGTGGACACTGGGCTTTGGATGAGCCCTTTAGGAGTGTATCCTCCATCCTGGGCAAGGTGACGTGGGGACTTCAGCTTCCATCTGCCCAAACAAAGGGAAATGAACAAAGCTCCCCACTGAGATTGCTAGAGATGGCCTCCCAGGCACATGGATTCTTCTGCCTTATTTTTCTGCTTTATTCTTTATTCTGAAGCTGCTGACTTCTCTTTGATCTGGGAAAAAAAAAAAAAAAAGACAATTAATGCAGTGGCATGGAGATTGCAATGGGACTAAGTATGAAGTCTTGTATCTACCAGCCAGTTGAAAAGCTTGGAAACATGTGAATAACATGAAGAAATACAGCTCTGGACAGCAAGTACAACACAAAAGATATTCCTGGCATTTGGAGCAGAGGGTGGTTCTGAGAGCAGGATGTGTCCGTCTGTCCCATCGTGGAGCTCGCAGACTGACTGACACATTGCCCATGCTGGAGGGAGGCAGACAGGACTGCGGTGTGCTTGGGGTGAGATGGGGTACGGCACAGGTCTGTCGTACCTGGGACATCTCCACAGCTGTGGTGGCAGCCACTTGATAGAAGTGTTTAAACATCACCTATTTAAGCAGTTCCAAAGGGCTGCCTGTGGCCTGTGGGGCAGCATGGAATCATAGAGTCACAGAACGGCTTGGTTTGGAATAGACATCAAAGTTCCAACCTCCTGCAGGGTTGCTTTATGGGTGATACGATGTAATGCTCAAATACCTCTTTAAACTTTTATTTTAATGCAACATAAAGCGGGTTTCATTTTATTTTTAGCACAAACAGCTGGGTTTTGTCTGTGCCTGGCTGTCCTCAGCTCCCCTCAGCTCAGGCAGAAGCTCCGGCCCGTCCTGCAGCCCCGCTCCATGCTGGATCGCAGCAGTGCTTCCTACAGTCATAGAACTGAGTTAAAAGTGTCCCTTAAGGGCCTTCTGGCCCAACTCCCTGCACTGAACAGGGACACCAACAGCTCCATCAGTGCTGAGCCCCGTCCAGCCTGACCTCAGCTGTCTGCAAGGACGGGGCGCCACCACCTCTGTGCAACCTGTGCCAGTGCCTTACTGTGAAAAACTACCTTCTGACAGTGCTGTTCTGCCCTTTGGGAGCAGGAGTGCTTTCCTGCAGGCCATGGAGCACGGCCCTGCATTAGCCCTGTGTTAGCCCAGCACTCTGACCTCCATCCTTTCCCCACGCCGAAGTGCTGCACTGCGTTCTGTGCACCTCGATGATTTCCTAATTGAAGGGCACTGTTATTCCAAGTGCTGGCTGTAATCAATAAACACACTCAATTTCTCAACTGGAACTTGTTTCTTTTTTTGTTTTGTTTTGTTTTGTTTGTATTTTCAGTTTGCCATACGGTTGTCCTTAAAATAAGGCGGTGCGTGGTTTAATTGAGCTAAACGCCACGTGCAGTGCTGGGTAACGCCGCTGCCACCACGCGCCTTCAACGTGCGTAAAGCGTACAGCCCGCCGCTACGGCCGGGCGGGAAGGGCTGCCCGACTTCCTCCTGATTCCCCACGGCTTTTCGAGCAGGCGATCGCCGCGGCCACCTTTGCCCGGCAGCTGAGAAGCCCTGCCGGAAGGGGGCCTCGGCGGCACTTCCGGGCCGGTTGGCGGCGGAGCGGCAGAGGCGCGGAGGGGATTCCAGCGGCAGCAGCGGTGCGGCTGAGCCGGAGCGGAGCGCAGCGGAGCGGGCGCCACCTCCCTCCGCGGGCCGGGCGGGCGGCACTATGATCACCTCGGCCGGTGAGGGAGCGGCGCAGGGCCGTGCAGTTCGCCGGGGTTTCGCTGAGTCAGGGCCGTGACTGGGCGCCGTCGCAGGCCGCGGGGCCGCCGGTCGGAGGACTCGGAGGGGCGGCCCGAAATGGGCCTTCACCTCTCCGGCCGGGTCACCCGTGGCCGCCGTCTCCGCGCGGCTCGGCGGCCACAACCGGCGATTTAAGCCTGAGCTATCCGGAGGCCTCTCGCTGCTCGCCTGTAGAATCGGGGCCGGCGCTCCGTTGGGGACGGGCGGGAGGCAGAGGCTGCGTGAGGAATGAGATGTCAAACGCTGCTTCTGGACCTGCGGAGAGCTTTTATGGTTTTTAAGAAAATAGGAGGAGTGTTTCTGAAAGTACTCAGGACAGAACTTGGAATGTGAATGGTTTTGGCTTTGGGAGGGAAACGTCGCAGAGCATGGCAGTCTGCAGGCAGTGCTCTGTTTGTCAGCTCTTGGTTTTATGTTTGAAGCCTTGTTGCAGTTGAGAAGAAGCAGGAGTTCATTTTGAAGGAGTTTTAAAAGAGGAGAAATAGTTTGTTGAAGATCAGTGAGATTGCCTTTACCTGGAGGTGTGGGAACATGTGGGTAAAAACAAACTGCTTATTTGGGGCAGAGTTGCTGTAACAGCATGGAGCCCTGTGCTGCTACCAGTTGCACCTGCGGGGCCCTTCAGTGTTCTTCCAGTTGCTGCTGGCAGATACAAGTATAAGTCTAAAATCTCTGACAATAGAAATTGCACATTTTACAGGTAAAGCGAGGAACTTTCTTTCTGTCAGAAAACTTTTCTTGTCATCGTACCTCAGCCATTAGAGCTCCAAATATAACTTGGTCCTATTGCTGCTCTTCATATTCAACACAGAGATCAGATCAGTCATCTTTTTGGCTTTTTGCTGACAGCTGCCTTATCTCAGCAGACTGGCCAGCTCCAGGCCTCCAGTCAGCCTTTCTGAGTCGTGGTTCCTAAGACCTTTTGTCATTGCTCAGCTCTGTACGCCCCAGCCTGCTCCTGTAGCAGGGTGCCTAGCAGTGGACACTGGTTGTGTGTGGGCACATCTGTGCCAAGCAGAGGGGAGGATTGCCTCCTGCGTCTGCCAGGAAATACTCTTCCACATCTCAGTGTGAAGTTTGGGTTCTGTGCCTCCTGGTGCAGCCATATGATATTGCTGGTAGTGTTTCAGCTGAGTTTGTTGTGCCACTGTGATTCCTTTCTATGTCATGTGTTTTAGATTTGATCTTTGCTCTCCCTTTGGAATGTTACACTCCCCTTGGATTCTTCCCTCCCTTCTCACAGTTTGTCAAAACCTTTTGAAAGCCCAGTTCTGCCTGTCAGCAGGCTTGCTGGCCTTTCTAGTTTGGTGTCTCCTGTAGGTTTAAAAAAGTTATCAATGTATGTGACATGGAAGATCAACATTAGTGAGTTGTGCTGGAACTCAGGCAGGTCCTTTGCCCATCCTTTCAGCTGCAGCCTTCTGGTCTGACAGTGAGCCATCTATGGCTGTTCTTCCATCCAAGCTCTTCAAAAAAGGATCGTCTTTTATGAGGAATGTACCTTTCCAATTATAAATTATGAGCTATTTTATTTTTAGTACGAACTTGGATCTGGTCTTGGAATGTTAATATGGAAGATTTTACCAGCATTCCAACATCAGCGTTCTTTCCTGTTCTTTTATTTTTGAGCTAAATGGCACATTCACATCTAAAGCAGTCCCAAACTGACTGTGATCTTGTTTTGCAGCTGGAATTATCTCTCTTCTGGATGAAGAAGAGCCACAGCTCAAGGTAAGCTCAAGGTGCTGCTTATTACATTTGGCAAAAAATAATGGCAAATGCATTGCTTTTGAGCTTAAAGTAAAAAATGCTTGGATCTCAGTAACTGTAATGCTTAGCCAGGGACAGGTGAGCTCCAGGTAATATCCAGCCTGAAAGCAAGGACTGAAAAAAAACAGATGGCAAACTTCTTTGTTTTGAATATGGATCAAACTGGGGCTTTGCTGAAGCCTCCGCTTATCTTAATCATAGTGGGACTTTGCTACTTAAATGTGTACCAGAGACTGCATTTTGACTATGTAAAATTCAAAGCTGAAGAGTTGTTAGCATAACTGCATGTATGTGAAATAATAATCACACTTAGAGATTTCTCTTGAAAGAAAGTTGCATTAGTAATAAGAGAAGATAACAGCAGCAGGAGCTCTGCAGCCCTCAGAGTTCTGAATCCACTGGACGACACCAAACACCCAAAGTGATGATGGTTTGGTGATGCTCTCTGATTTTCTGAGCACAAGGACAGATCTCCTTTTAGGAAGGAGGGATGCATCTTGTAATGTAGGCAATCCCCTGCAGGTTTTGCTTCAAAACAGACATAAATGGTGATAGATTTGAATTAGCCCTGCTTTGCTCTGAGCTGGCTGCAAGTGGGCTGTTTACAGCCTGTATATCATTCATCTGGGAAAGCATAGTGTCCAAGTTAATTAAAAGTGTTGGCTGGTGTAGACCGTGGGTTGGAGTTCTTTGTGCTATCTTAAGGTTGTTCCAGACCCTTTGAAAACTTTGCATTTTGAGGAATTTGAGCTTTCATCTGTTTTAGCCAACCAGACCTCACAGAAAGACCATGGGAAGGAGCATCAGGCTCCCCTGCCTCTGCTCGTAAATGAAGCAGCCGTTTTTTTTTTTGCACAAGTGTTGCAAAGATTAGAGAGCCTTTGTGGAACTTTATTAAAGTAGAGCTTGTTGTTTAGGTGGATCAATTCTTGTCATGTTAGTGCTGGATCACACATAATTTTTTGCCGAGGGAAGGTACTAAATGCATTCTTTATGTAACATAACTTTGCATTATTATTATCTCTAGGAATTTGCTCTTCACAAGCTGAATGCTGTTGTCAATGACTTCTGGGCAGAAATCTCCGAGTCAGTGGACAAAATGTAAGAAAAAGCACCCATTACTGCAGGGTGTGCTGCTTTAAGAGAAAATATACACTAAGTGCATGTCATTCTCCTTGCCTGATACTGGCTATGGGATCTAGCCTCATGCTTCCTGGAAAGCATTAATTTTGAAGGAATGTGGTGTTGAAACTGTCGTCCCAAAGACGAAAGTTCAGCCAGTCTGACGTGTGGCCTTTAAGAGAACCGAGCACAAAGATGAAGCTCTTCTCTCTCCTCTTTTTAGTGAAGTTCTCTATGAAGATGAGGGCTTCCGGAGTCGGCAGTTTGCTGCTTTGGTTGCTTCCAAAGTGTTTTACCACCTGGGAGCTTTTGAGGAATCTCTGAACTATGCCCTGGGAGCCGGTGACCTCTTCAACGTCAACGACAACTCGGAATATGTGGAAACGATCATTGGTAAACAGCTGCTGCTGCCAAAGAAAACGCAGGCATTTGTGTTATCAGAACTGTCCTGTTTAGAGATTTCCCTTGCTTTAGCTGTTTTTCCCCACATTCCACTCCTTGTATTGGAATTGTTGCTGCTGCTACTTCTACTCAGTTTATTTTTGCCTTGTTTTCCCGTCCACTTTAAGATCCCATAACAGAACTGATGTAGAACTTACGGCAGTCTTTTCCTGTTCTTAACTGTTGTTCCACTGCAAGTTCCTAACAGCAAAATTACTTTGTGTATTTTTCCTTCTCTCATTTGTTTTTCTCGTGTTGTCAATGTCAGCATAACTTTGGGAGTAATCATCTAATAAAAACAGCTGCTCACCAGGGGCTGCCATTTTTTAAATTCTCTTTTAAACAAAGCAGCAAGCCAGATGTTGAGCCTTTGTGTAGGTTGAATGGTTTTTTTCTGAAGTATCATCCGCTGGCATGGGTTGCTGGTCAGAGGATACAGTGGACATGGGCTGGCTTTCAGTCTCCCCAGCTAATGCCTGTGGTGGATTAGGAAAGTCTCCTATTGCTGCTTCTATATTTGTTTAAAATATCCTGTTCTTGAACCAAGATAATGACTTTGGTTCCGTTTTAAATGCATCTTCTTGGTTTTGCTGTTGCAGTCAGTTTGCTGGATGAGATTATAAATATTTTTCCACTGCTGTCTGTACCTTTGACTGCACAAGTAGCTCATGTGCCTCATCTGTGCAGTTGTGTTTTGCTGGCAGAATGCTTTCATACACAGTCTGGTCTCTTTCCTCAGGAAGGTGTAGTGAGCCCCGGGTTGCCACAGAGTTTCAGAATAAATTGATACACTGGCTATGATTTAATTTTGAGTAGAAGATTTGGGCAACTGTTTAAAAATGGGATAACTGCTGAGAGCTGGAAGTGTCAGATAGCTCTGTAGAGGTTGTCATCTACTGAATTTACTAACTTCAGTGTCAGTAGTATGGAGATGCATTTTGACACGATAGTGTCAGTGTTGTTGGTCTTGCTGTTATGCATAGGATGGCTTCTGAACGTCTTCTGTGATCAGGGGGCTGGAGCACCTCCCCTATCAGGACAGGCTGAGGGAGTTGGGCTTGTTCAGCCTGGAGAAGAGAAGGCTGTGGGGTGACCTCATTGCAGCCTATCAATACCTGAAGGGAACCTACACCCAGGAGGGGAGTAAACTCTTCAAAAGGGC